TTTTATTCCTTTGATTAAACATGTTAAATAAAAGCTTATTTTTAAAAAAATATTTTTTTACATTACTTTATTCAGTTTTAAATTGAGTCCGAAAGGTAGTGGTTATCGGGTAGTGATCGCTACCGTGAAGATCTTTCGATATTTTCCATTCACAGTTTGGTATATGAGACTGGGTGTGACTAAAGTCAAATCAATATGGTTAAAATAACTATGTGTATATAAGTGCGTGGGTGAACCATTATTTAGTACAGTACATCGTGCGAGCCCCAGAGTGGGCTCCAGGAGTTAAAATCGCCTGTCAATATAATTGGCGTACCTATTCGTGTTTTTTTTTCTTGTTGTAATGCTGGATTTCCACTAGGCATTAAATGGCAAAAATGACAATTGACAAAGTCGGGCATTAAAAAAAAATCGTGTCATTACATTAAAAAAATAGTAATTAAGTTCATTTCCACATGGCATTTTTTCAAATGGCATACATTTTTTGTCATTTCAATGCCTAGTGGAAATTCGGCATTATGCGCAGTCTGTAAGAACTTGTTTCATAGACGAACTAAATAAAAAAAAAAAATAAAAAAAATAAAAATTTTAAGCATTTCTCTGGATGAGAACGTTTGTTGCGGCGGTATATAGCTATTGAGTACAGTCACTTTAGGGTTAAGGCGCACCTCAATTCCCAGTGTGCATTTGGTAGAGTTAATATTTAAAGCTTCATATGGAATATGTTTTTTGATTAGGATACCAATACCTTGTTTTGCACTTAGGTTCGTATCTAGGTTACAAAAATACCCAGTAAAGAAGGGTAGAAGATATTATGTTTATTGAAAGGAAGGTGTGTTTCTTGTATACATATTACGTCGGGATTTTGTTGTTTTATAATTAGTAGTAGTTTGCGGTAATTATTGTTGCAACCGTTCATATTCCATTGCAGTATAGAAATATGCATAGGAGGGAAGAAGGGCGTTATAAGTTGTTTTTTCCTAAGTAAGAGAATTCCCCATTGGAGAATACCGAAGAAGGAGATGCGCAATCGTTGTTATTAAGTTCTTCTGTAGGAGAGATTGATAGTGGTGGATATGGAGGTGTATATTGTTATGTTTATTGTGATCATTGGTTTGCGAAGCTATTGATATTGAGTGTGGTGGATATATTGTGGTGGAAAAAGAGCTGATTAATTCATCTACGATGTTTTCCTGCGTAACAGGAGTTCTTTGTTGAGCGAAGTTTTGAGAATTTGGTACGTTCGGTGTTATTGAGAAGGGAGAAGTTGGATTATTAGTTGTTGTAGGTACTACTTTAGTTTTGTTTTTTGTGTTTGCTTGGCTTTGAGTTTGGTATTTTTGTGGGCCAGCAGCAATAAAAGAGTAGCTGGCGGTATCAATGGGCTTTGGTGCGTTTGCTCTAAAGATTGCTTTTGCTTCACGCAAAGTACATTTTTTTGTTGTTTTGATTTGTATGATTTGCAGTGTGCCCTAAATATTGGCATGATTTGCATCTCATTGGATTGGGAAAATATGGTCGAATTTTTGCAGAATACCACAAAATGTCTATTTTTCTGGCAAATTAAAAAGTTCAAAAGTTAAGAAGACTACTTCACTTGGCTCGGGGACTCCATCGTTCATTAATTTATACTCACCTGTCACTTTTTGAGAGCTTAGTTCCTTAATGATTTCCTCTTCTGGTATGTTGATTAGGCAGGGGGCGGTATCTTTTACAAAGTTCAATGATTCGAGAAGTTTGCAAGCGATTTCACAAATACCAGTCAGGGAATTTGTTTTAAGAAATTGATCAGCGTCCTTATGTGAGTCCACCAGAATGAGTAGGTTGCCGTCTCTTGTGGGTGTAATTTGTATAATGTTTTTTGTAATGAGCTGTAGGCCTCGGTTCACCGCAAAGCAGGAAAAATCTGTAATTTTCTTTTCACAATTTCTTTATGTCACTACGATGTATTTGGGTGTTTTAGTTGTTGGAGTGGGTAGGTCGGGGAAGGATAAATCCAGTCTTTGTGGTTTTTTCGTCTTTTTGCTTGGGGACTTTCGGAAAGCGACGCAAACCGATTATCCCCAAACGGGGAGAACCTGGAGGGCATTTTGGGTGTTTTTTACTTAATTCGTATTTTATTAATTAAGACAATAGACACTTGTAATTTTAAACTGCACTTAGCGTGACGAATAAGAGCCAATTTACACGATGACTTTTCACCCTGGGTGGAAAGTCATGCGTGTCGAGGTTGTAGGCAAGAAGTGTAGCGAAGTCAGCGGGGTAGGCAAGCACGCACGCTTAGCGAAATCGAGGGGTTTTTTTGACGTTTCGCTTTTATCGAGTTCACTTTTCCTTATTTTTGCTTTAAGTTCGCGATTCGCTCCGCTTTAAAAATGAGGAGGAAAGAGTTGACCAAAGAAAATTTGACGCTTAAATGTCAAAAATACGCAAGAAACGCCGAAAAGAAAAAGTCATTGTGTAAATGCACGAGGATTTTCGAAGACTTTTTAAAAGGGAACGTGCCAAAAACGCAGGGTGAAAAGTCGTCGTGTAAATTGGCTCTAACACGTGAGTTGCTTTGGAGTTGGACTTTGAAATGACACTTGCATTAAGAAATTGCGCTTGCGATCAATGCCGAGAGAGAAGCTACCGACGTCTGCTCACGATGAGTATTAGTCGATGACTGCAAAATCGATAATTACAATGACCACTTAGCAGAAAATTATACTATTATGCATTTTTTTGGATAATGGGCGTGGCGCCGCCCCCTTCTGACCACAAATGTGTATCTCGGTAACCGATTTATCAATTTCTACCAAACTCGGTGCACTTAATAACCTTGGTACGGAAAAGAAATTTGTTGAAAATTATTGAAATCGGACTAAAATTACACCCGCTTCCCGTATAACGGTAAATTTCAGAAATCCGAAAACTCCGATATTTCAATAACTGAGGACGCTAATTTACTCCAAGTTAATAATTACAACATTCTCCTTACAATAGATAACTGCTATACACTTTTAGGAATTGGGCGTAGCACCGCCCACTTTATAACTACAAAGGTGAACCTCGGTAACAACTTAATCGATATGTACCTAACTGGGTTCAGTTATATCATTAAGTCTAACTCTGTATATTATAGAAAACGTCTGAAATCGGGCGAAAACACACCTGCTTATCATGCCAAGGTAGTTCAGAGAAAGTTGAACCGACGATATTTGATACCTGTGCCGGGTATATAAAGTTCGGTTTCGCCCGAACTTATACTTCCTTACTTTTTTATTACTATTTTTTTTATGTATGTTACCAAACAACATCAGCTGCAAAAATATAAACGATGAACGTACTAAAAGAGTTAACGAAAAAGGTAAAATCGGTGGCGTCACAATGCGTTCAAAAATTTTTGTCGAGGATGACGAATTTGAATTTACTCTGAACTTAATCCTTAAAATTTCATTAACGTATATAAAAAAAATAAAAGGAGCTGAGATTTATTTAGTTACTCTGCTTGTATTACAAATAAATTTAAATAATATCGTTTTATTTTAACATAGTCGAGCTCTTATATGTATACAACTATTTTCTCTTTATAAGAATCCATTCGATGAAATAAAGGCACAAGAGGATATTCCACACAAAATCGCAAAGCCTAACGAAATAGCATCCGATGAGAAAAATCAGTGCATATACCCCGCGGAAATGGAAAACTTTGCAAATGCGGTACTTCGTAGTTGCACATCTTACAAACAAAATGAATCAGTACGAAATGCTCTCAACCGAACTGTAGCCACGAATGCAACAAATCAATCATTAAATCCAAAATTGACTGCGAAAACTTCAACACAGTTATTTCAAGATAATAATAATGAGATCGAGGCAACTAGTATTAGGAGCATTTCATCAGTTTCAGAAGATACCGATAAAATAAATGAAGACCAAGTTGAAGAAATACAAGAATGTCGTCAAAACACTGGACGGGAGGAAGCAACTGCTGTAAGTGACTACGAAGAGTTTAGCGATTGTCCGACGTTTCCCAGCTTGATGGATATCTCCGATATAATGTTTACATCTGACTGTGAGTCAACTAAAAATATAACTATTCAAACAAAGCGGCCGAATAAGCGTAACCCAAAGTCAGTCACTAAGAAAAATTTCTGTGACTTACCTAATCAAGCTAAGGAATCTGATATGTTGATACCTCAAAGTAGTGTTATATATTGTTCAAGATCAGAAAACGATAGTGATAGCGAGTACTCAACTATTTCACACAACGATGTAGTTAACCCAAATTCGCAGACTTTGAAATTACCCCAACACGAGTTTGTAACGCCACAAGTGCCGATGAAAAATTTTCAAAAAACTACCAGCGTAACTAAATGTCATGTCAGCACCACAGCAACATCCATAATCACCCAGCGAGATCGCGTTGTTCATCATGAAGAATTTGTAGTCAATTTAGCAGGCATATCGAACACACCACTAAACCTTTCGCAAAGCTGCTCGCGAGCCACTAAAACTACTACAACCATTGTAAAAGAAAAGAAAGAAATCAGTCTGAATAATTCCTGCCGGACATCCGCGAATATAACAGCGCTAACACCGAAGTCCCTGAATCAAGGTATTCTTTAATAACGATTAGGAAGCTCACAATGTGTTGCAT